ATACATCGATACATCGATATCGACTACTATCGAATGTCATTAGCAACCGATACACAATCATTCATTTATTGTCAACAAATATTCTCTTGTTCAGTTGTGTATCAGGCATTCCAAGTTCATTCATGTAATCATTCACACGTTCAAATAAACCGACTCAAGTTTTATTAAAAAGAACAAAGTTAATTTATTTTTGTGAGTGAACAAACAACAAATTTTTAATTGAGGTTTTTCACTGGTCCATATATTGTTCACTAATGAAAATACTTGTTCAGTGGGAGCGTTAGATCCAGGAAAACATAAGTATTAAAAATTCAACAATTTTTGAAATGTTTTTAAAAGATACGTGTTTTTCTGTAAAACATTTAGACCCGGTTTCACAATTCGCGGTTAACTCGAATTAACCGAAGTTCGACTTGCTGAGCTCGGTTTAACGCGTTCAATCTTCTTTGTCAAATCTTCGCTAACCAATCACAGTTTATGTTTAGGAAGAAAAGATGCGTTACGCCGAGTTCAGCAAGTTGGGCTTCCGTTAATTCGAGTTAACCGTCAATTGTGAAACCGGGCCTTAACAATTCCAACTCATCTACGTTAGCAAGAGTCGTCATTATGTCTTTATTCTTCTATCTTTTCAGTGGTGACGTAACTTTTGATACATAAAACTTCATCAAATAGTTCGCCGTTATTTATATTTAAATTCCAGTAAAATACACAAAACGCTTTCCTCGATCTTTGCCCACAGAGGAATTTCTCGTAGTAGGACTTATTCAAATACATTCATTTCCACGAAAAAGCCGTCCCAGTGTTATTCAAATAATCAATGCAAGTTTCGTAAAAATTATGAACTGCATCTTTAAATGTGTTGGCATCAATGGTTTAAGTTTTTTCTAAATCTAAAAGTATTTTTGTAGTATTTAAAGACAAAAATCCTTGATTTTGTTGTTCAATTAACTTTAGTTATAAATTATACATCAATTATACGACGCAGCTATAAAGTCAACTTACTCTTTCATTTTATAAAATAAAGGACAAAATAATCATTTAAAAAAAAATAAAAAAATCTACAGGACAGAGCAGTAAAATAAAGGACTGTCCTCTTAAATAAAGGACGTATGGTCACCATAACTATGTTTGCTCTTTGCGATGCAACATCAAGAAAGACATGAGGCAAGGCTGTGTACTATCACCACAATTGTTCAACATTTACAGCGAACACATAATGAGGTTGGTGCTGGAAGTTCGGGAGGGAGGAGTCCCAATAGGAGGAGTTAGGATATCTAACCTCTGCTTCGCTGATGATACGGTACTCATCACGCAGAACGAGGAAGAACTTACCGCAATTTTGAACAAATTGGAGAGAATTAGTGCGGAACACGGGTTAAAGATCAATATGGCTAAAACAAAGATAATGATTGTCGACAAAATCAACAACAACAGGAACGAGATCCAGAACATTGCAGGACAATGTAATGGACAGCTTCGTCTACTTGGGTAGCTCCATTAACAACTGCAGGGATTGCGAGCAGGAAATCAGAAGGCGGATCCAGAACTGGACAGAACAGCTATGTCCAGTCTCATTAAAATATAGAGGAACAAGGATATAACGAAAAATACCAAAATTAACCTAGTGAGGATACTTGTGTTCTCAGTGTGCCATTACGTCTCCGACACTTGGACAATCCGCGTAGCAGATAGGAAGAGGATCAACGCGTTCGAGATGTGGTGCTAGCGGAGAATGCTCCGCATACCTTGGACGGCGAGGCGGACAAATGCATCCGTTCTCGCAGAGGTGAACAACTCGCAACGACTCTCCAGCATAGTATTCCAGAATATTAACCTTTTTCGGGCACATCACGAGGGTGGACAACATGTAGAGGCTGCTGGTTCAGGGGAAACCTGAGGAGAGGAGGAGCCGAGGAAGATCTCCTACCCGATGGATCGACACGGTGGAGAAGTTGTTAGGTACCAATTTGGAAAAGGTAATGAGAGCTGCGCAGAGTCGCGACGAATGGAAAAGTGGCGTAAGAAAAGCCATACAATCCCTAGAGGACCGACATACATGATTACTACGCATCTGCCAAGATGCACGGAATTGATAATTATGATGATGATATATACAGGGTCTCCGACAATTACGTTAACATCTCTCGTAGGCGAGTAGGAGTAAAACTCAGTCGAAAAGTCCTGCACTATTTTACGAGATTCGCAATAGTTACCAAGATCTTAATTAACAAAGATCCTTGAATAAGCATCCATCGGGCTGTCTTACACGCTTCGCGCGCTCACAGTGTTACTCACAGTAGCAACCAGAGGCGTATTTAACGTCGGTGCAACCGGTGCGATGCACCGACGGGCCCCGGGATCTGCGGGCCCTCGGTGCATGATAAACATTTATAAATTTATAATATTCATAACATTACTTATCGGAGTTGCGAGTGCCGAAAGATCATTTAGTGTATTAAGAAGACTTAAAAGTTATTTAAGAAGTCCCTTACGAAAAAGAACTACTGCCGATTACATATAAATAAAGTCAGTAATATAAATATTACTGACAATTACATAAGAATATTATTAGGTATTATGGGAATCACTGAGAATATTACTGGCAATTACACAGAATGCCAGTAATGTTTTCGTACCACTGCCGCAATATATTATTGCCAGTAGTTCTTTTTCGTAAGGGGTACCATGACACAGGAAAGAACATCTGATCTAACTTTATTATCAATTAAAAAAAATGTTTTGATTAATTTAAATTTGGAAGATGTTGCAAACAAATTTATGTCGGTTAAAGTTCGAAGAGGTGTTTGTTTCTAAATTTGCATACAAATAAAAAATCATTAAAAACTTTTGTCCAATTACCTTTAATAAATAATAATAACAATAATAATAATTATTATTATTTAAAGGGCCCTCTCATCTTTGTCCTTGCACCGAAGTTTTACCAGTCTTAAAAACGCGCCTGGTAGCAACGTAGGGGAGAAACTAATACAAAAGCATATACTATAACGTATACATAATAAAAGGTAACCCCGCCCAAAGCGCGTTGGTCTTACACGCATAATAGTCCACCTTATTTGCGGATCTTTGTTAATTAAGATCTCGATAACTATTGCGAATCTCGTAAGATGGTATAGGACTTTTCGACTCAATTTACTCTTTCTACTTGCCTACAAAAGATGTTAAAGTAATTGTTAGACACCCTGTATATATAATTCTCACTTGTAAAAATTTTTGTTTTTCATAGTTTAACATAGTAATGTAATATAATTTTGTAAATTCCAATTTTAATAAATATCTTGTAAAAGAATGATCTTTTAGACTTTATTTAAAATTACATCGCATTCTAATCTAATTACATAGATTATTAAAAAAATATTGATAATATAAATATACATATAAAATCAAATTTATTATACAGTAATAAATCGCGATGATAGTGTAACATTCTTTCTTGAAATTAATTCAAGTATTGTGTAAAAGAACTAGACATGATAGCACTAATGTATACGATTATGGACAGTTATAAGCAGTTTGTAAAAACAAAATATGTTTATACAAACTTGTATATGTAAAAAAACATTTCGGTTTGCTATTCTTGCACGAGATTGAAACATGATAGAATATGTCTAGGTCTGTGTATATTATAAAGGAAAAATATACAACAGATTAGAAAAAATATAAAAATTGATATATGTATAAAGATTGATGACAATTAATAAAATCAATATATAGCAACGTAAGATCTATAATAATAAATTAATAACACCTTACTTCAGTTCATAACAAAAGTCATAATTTGGCGGTGGCTCGGGAATTGCAGGTGGATCTTGCGGAATGTCGATACCTTCGGCATCAAGAAGTCGTAATTTAATGTCCATTGATAACAGTATCTCCAAATCATTTTCAGTTTCCTTACTGATCATTCTGTTTCCTATGCGCGATAAACAACAAAAAATTATCTCTAATATATTAATGGGCGATATAAAAACAACTAACAGATAGTTTGAAGTCAATATAAACTGAATATACATGCAAATATGATTTTTAAATATGTAAATTAATACATTTGGAAACTCGAATTGAATTCAATCGATCTTAAACTATCTGCTAGTTGTAAACTTTCACGAGCACAATAATTATATATAAATACAATATATTGACTAAGAAAATATGAATAAGGTCATAAGAGCCGTTTTTGGGGGCAGGATGTTATGCCGAAATATACTTTTATATACACATGAATATATATGTGTTCACATATAAATTTTACACGTGAATTTTTTATATTGAGTATCTTTATACCGAGTAATGCATTGATGCCGTCAGTCCAATAATCGAAAACTTGCTCGTCAGGTGCGACAAAATCGAGACTCGACACTTCAACAGAATCGAGGACCAACGAGAACGCCAACTGATGGGTGGTTTTACGTCTCTGCAAATCTTTCATATGCGGACAGTCTCTACCAATCAGCAATCCACGTATTTCGACTACCGCTAACTTTGTAGGGAGTTCATCTATTGTCGGCACCGACTTTTCATCACAGTCACCGTAATGAAAAACCTTGTGGTTCGGTGATAAACGGACATACCAGAATTTGTCCTTGATTCTCTGGAAATTTCGAATTTTGTCAAGATTTTCGTGACTTTTCACACAGCACAAAACGTTTCAACATTACAGCAACATTGCAAACTTGCAGATTACAGTGCAATCTTGCAGAGACATGGGAAAAGTATGAAATTACAAACTTCTAATAGTAATATTGTAGCAAAGTTGCAGAAACATTGCAAAAGTATTGTAATGATATTAAAATCTGATGCATATGTGTTGTTGTTGTTGTATTTATATATATATATATATATATATATACAGGGTGTCCCAGAATTGCCGTACAATCTCTCGTAGGCAGGTAGGAGTAAAACTGAGTCGAAAAGTCCTGAACCATTTTTTTCTATTATTTATAATAAAGGAGTAATTATTGAGTAAATCAGGCCAATCAGCGCAGACCTTTAGCCAGGCACACGTCAGTGAGCGCTCACACACACCAGGCGCGCGGCTCACTGACGTGCGTCTGGCTAAAGGTCTGCGCTGATTGGCCTGATTTACTCAATAATTACTCTTTTATTATATGTAATAGAAAAAAATGGTTCAGGACTTTTCGACTCAGTTTTACTTCTTCTACCTACCTACGAGAGATTGTACGGCAATTCTGGGACACCCTGTATATATATATATACCGAAATTACAATATTTGAAACTGCTCTGATAGCCAAGCATGTTTTGCAAAATGATGTAACTTAATGCTGAGCTGAAGTTTTCAACTAGTTGCTGTGTATTTGCTGAAAACATGATGCATAGTCATACGTAATCGACAACACGAAGGCAAATTTGAGACATTTTGTGTCAGCAAACGAAGAGCAACTATTGCTCATTACGTTGTCAACAAAATGACTTTTATTCATAGAAAACTCTTTGCTTCGTCATTCGTTTTCAACAACATAAGAGCAACATGACGGTAACAAAATAAGACACCGATTTCTGTACTTTTGTCGTATGATTGATAAGAACTTTTGGCATATATTTATTCTATCTTGTAGCCCATTAAATGTCAAAAAAATGAATAACCGTCTTTTAGAATAAGTAGACAAAAATAATTATATTTTAGTAAGGAACAAGGTCTCGCGGACTGAGTGCAGGGATTGCAAATATGAAGGTCTCGAGTTCAAATCCCTACCCATCATCTTAGGATTTTTTCCGGGTCCCGGTACCTTTTATCAAGTCAATCAGTTGATCGGCGAACTAAATCAGATCTCCAAAGATTAATTTGAGTGAAATCTCGAATTAATTCTCCTTTCACAAAGCGATGTGTCAATGAATATATATTTGTCCGTTTTCGACATATTGTATTTTTGCTGAAATTTGACACGTGTTGTTGGCAACTTGTTGTCATGTTGCTCTTTATGTTAGTGATAAATCGTTGACAGCAAATACACAGCAAGTTGTCGGCAACACATGTTGAATACGTGTCATGTCAAACCAAAGACAAATGCCTGACTCCTCTTCTTCTAAATTTGCTGAAAACTCAAGTGTTTTGTTTTCGGCAACATGACAGCAAAAACACAGACAGGTTGCTATCAGGGTGTTATTCATCCATCAAAACTATTACTATAAAGTTGCATGTTTTCTTTGCTTTCACCACTGACACATTCTATAGTGTAAATTCTATAAGTACAATATAATTATACAATATAATTCATCTTCTGTATTTACTGAAGTTTCATTATTGCTAGTTACTCTCGTATAAAAAAAACTTCAGTGAGTAGTGTTACAGTTATAGCTTTTTAATATTTGTAATGTTTTTAAATATAATTATGATTTTACTATGCTTTGAAGAGTAAAAAATCTTCACTTATTAATTGAATAAACTCGTGAGACGATGTATTATTCAAGCAAATATAAGCAAAATACAGGGCGTTTATGTGTTTCATTCTTTATTGAAAACCAAACAATTACAAATATTTTATCATTTTTACCGTAAAGTTGTTATTGTAAAAATTACAATGTAATTGTAATTCTTTAGTTTTCAATAAAAAATTAAACTGCACAACAGTTTGCTCGCATCTGCACGAATAATCAGTTTTATCTTTATATTTATGTATATGCAATATTGTTGCATTATTGGAAATATATTACATCGCAATACTGCTATGATGTTGCTCTGCAATCTCTCTGAGGGTGGACATTTCAACGTTGCTGCAATCTTTCTTCAACGTTGCATCAATATTACCTATATCAATATTGCGTTGCTACAACATTGCAATCTTACAATGTATTTCTGCAATGTTCCTGCAATCTTTCGGTTCTGTATACGTTATATATTAGATGTATACACAAAGATGTATTTCTTTAAAAAAAATATTATATACTTGTCCTCTTGCACTATACTTCATGAATCTAGTACCCTGCACCAAAAATCCCAATCGCTGTTGCTGAATCAACTCCAAAATCTCAGGAGTTATCTGCTCTCTGAGCTCAACAATCGGTCTTGCGTGGCTTTCCCATTCTTCACGGTTTGTTCGTTCCTGCTGCCATAAGTTTGTAATTGTTGAATAAGGCAGCTGTTGTAATTTACTTTTAAACTTGTCAAGTCCTGTAGGTTTACAGTAAAGCGCTCTTGTTATCTGCTCCCGCACGACAGAAAACACTTTAACAAAATCCTCTGTGGTCGCTCTCATTTCCTTCCATGTTTTATTTAGAAGAACAATACAGGCGCAGTAGAACTCTTCAAAAGGATGATCGTGTGTGAAGAACATTGGATGGTAAGATTGTCCTTGTTCACTAGGTGCTTCACCTATACGTAACACCTAAAAAAAGTAGAACGTTTGTTAATTTTATATATATAATATCGTGAACAGTTTAAACTTCTTCTAAACATGTCGTACTTCGCAAAGTAATTTAACAAGTTCCACACTTGTTCTCCCGAACGGACATTCGTGCTCATCCGCCCTGCATGAATTTTCGAGAACAACTTTTGTGTAAGCTTCAGTTTGATTGCGTGCAAAGTACACCATACAATCGAGCGCAAGCATGCCAGGTGGAGTCTCAGTAAAGTCGAGCGCCGGGTTGATGTCATATTTGAAGCCTAATTTTTTGTAATCCTTAGCAAAAAGTCCCTGTTTGCGAGCGGTTACGTCCCCACTGGTCGCACCTTCAGTGTCAAAAGCAATCTTTCGAAGTTCTTTAATCTTATCGTGCGCATCTTGATCCTGCGGGTCCATCTTTGTCATCATTCTTTGCTCCAAAAGACTCAGCATTAGCGTTTGCAGCACATAGAGTTGATGTGCCATTTCTGTTCCAACTTGTCCAGTAGATTGGATGATATTCGTCAAGAAAACATTTCTGACTTGTTTGGATTGCAACGTGGCGGAAACCGCACGTCTCTTATACAAATCAGCTTTCAGAAATAATGCGTTTATCAGAGCTATGGCATTTTGTTGAATTTGTGGATTCATGCATTGCAAATGCATCACAAGATTGGGAAAAGTGACTTCTTTCTCCACTTGTCCATATTTTCCTGTCGAATTCAAGACTATATTCTCTAAAATACTCAGAGAAGCTTCTACAATACTATTATCCTGAGCTACTGACTGATTGTTCACATAACTTGCTACTTTATTAATGAAGGGTGTCTCTAATATATCCCATGATACAATTCCATGGTCCATCAGTTCAACAAATGATCCAAGGGAATATGCAAGTGCATTTCCTTTATATTTTCCACTTTCCACCTTGCAATTTGATCAGTTATTATAATAAATTATAAAAATTAATAATATTGCACATTATATTTTTATGTAAAAGTTACATACTTGTGAAATTATTAATGCTAAGCCTTTTTTGTTTATGAATTCCAATGCAAATGTCATGTCTGTGCTAAGTATACTTAGCTTCTCCAAAGCTGTTGTTTTTTCTTCTATTGTTCCATTATTAAGCTTTGCCAAAATATCACTTGCTGTCTTTGATGGTGAAAACTCTAATCTTAGAATACTACCATTTTTTACTTCATTTCTGTTTTTCTCTGTGATATAATTCTGATTGTTACTTTCAGAAAATTGTAAGGAGTAAGATTCAGCATCAGATAAACCCCATCCGTTACATAAATCCTAAAGGTAACAAAATTGCAAACCTTTCAAATTGATTAAACATAAATTTTATTCACAATTTAACTAAGAATTACAGCTCATATAGTTTAAAAACAAGTAGTGCGGAATTTTGACAGGTAGTAGGAGTCAATATACTAGATGTTTTGTAGTATAAATATATCTGAATAAATATTTATATATTTTTAGGAGTGTAAATGTTTTACAAATGATTATTTGAATTGAAACTTTTTGTGTGATTTCATATAGGATGCTAGATTTGCATCACATATATAAGTATATCCATTTTCCCCAACTAATTTAAAACTTATATTGCAAAAAAAAACACTTCGACCACAGGAGTCGAACCTGGAATCTCTCGCTTTCCGTGTGATCGCCTTCTCACTTCGTGCCTCAGTAGTCGAATTGGGAAGGCAATCACAGTTAGTTGTATAAAAATAGTGTTGTCGCGTCGTTTTTGACATCAAATTTACTGTTCTGCCAAATTGGTTTCTTTAAACATGTAAAACTGACAAGGACTGAGTTCTTCCTTATCTTTATTTTAATCTAGTTACTGAAGAAGATCCTAATCAGGATCGAAACGTCTGTACTTACTTTAATATAGAATAAAGAATTTTTTGAACATTGTTTTTGGCTCAAATTAGCCCCTTTATTCGTTGAATATAATAACTCCTTCAAAGTTACAATAATTGATCGTACCTGTATAATTCCAGTTAGAGGTTGCTTTTGATTAAATTCAATTAGCTGTGGTACTTGATCCGTCATCTGAACAGCGATTTTTACAATACTCGAATCTTTTTGGACCGGCATTTTGATAGCTTGTGTGTACATAAATGCAAAGACTTATGAGGTGTGTTCCGTCTCAAGCGTACTGTACATCAGAGTTGCAAGTTGCAAAATCGAGCCGGGTCGGGAATACGGGAGCAACGAGAGCATCAAAGCGATAAGGGCACACACACAAACGAGAACTGGCGCAGGGTGTACAAACTCACTCCTAAGCAGTGTTGCTGCGAAGTCGCGTTTTCGCGCATGCGCACTGTGCTGCTAGAAGAATGCAGTAATGTACATATATATGCACGTAAATGAGGGACATTAACCCTTTGCGGACGGAGACGCTCAACGGGCGAGCGTCGCTGTGGACGACAGGTATTGGAGCGTGCAGTAAAGAAAATTTTCACGTCGCATATTTGCGTTTTACAAATTAAGGCTTTATTCAAATAAATTATTCAAAAAATCCTAAAAATTATAAACAAACAAATTTACTAACAAATAA